AAAGAGGAAAACAGAAGTTATTTGATTGGTAATTAAAATTTAAATTATTTGCCCCCCCCAACCCCAGTAGTGCTTTTCTTGCTGTGCTGAACTGGGACTCTTAAGTGGCAACTCCTGCTCCAGCAGCCATTATTCAATGCATTTTTACGCATTTACTGTCTAGGTGAGTACCCTGACAGTACCCTGAGTTCAGGGCTTTCCAATAGAATTAAGTCATCAAGAGCATAAAGAGAGAACCACGTCCTCTTATGTTGCTCTCTTAAGGCTGGGGTGTTGCAGCTGGGTGGGACGCACCAACATTTCTGTCTTGCTGACAAACAGCACTGTGCTGACCTTTTGGGTGTCTTCCCAGCCAGGTCGCGAGGAGGAATGGAAAGGAGGGGAGGGGGGGGAACCCAACAAAATAAAAAAAAACTTGAAAAGCTTAACTCAGGTGCATCAGACATCCTAAAAGGTGAGGCTTGCTTTTAAAGGAGTTAAATAGCATGGAAAGCAACAGCTTCCATCGGTACTTTCTGCTGTTAAAGTGTTATTTTCTTTCTTGGCACCTGTGGACGAGAACTAGCACTGGGAAGGAGGAGCACACAACAGAAGTGTCTGAGCAGGTGGAAAGGGAAGCCACAAGACAAGTTCATTTGGTTTCCTCCATGGTTTAATTTGACAAAAGTGGAGCCATCGCAGGTTGGTCAGCATGGGATGGCAGCTGTGGTCCAAAAGCTATGTGTGACTGTTTTCTGGGATTGCCATTCACCACTTTTAGAAGCTTTGCTTCTGCTAAATTTTAACTTGAGCTTTTGAAGTGCAGCAGGGTAACTGTGCTCCTCTAGCAAACTAGGCACGTTCAGCCTATTAAAAGCAAACAAACAAAACTATAGTGGCTTTTTTTTAGAGTTTGCAGGCTTTATACACCAAACTGCTAATGGGCAGGAGGGAGGGAGTAGATAAAAACCACAGGAAGCCTCTAGTGTTTGATTTTTAGGCCTCTAAGTAGAGAAGAATAAAATACTTGTTACAGCTTTTTTAAGCTCCCCCATCTATAAAAGCAAGAGTCCTCTTGCTTGCTGTTGGGTTCAGGCTGTTTCTCCCTTTCAACCTGTTCTCACAGTTTACAGCACATGGGCCAGGGCTACATGAAGTAAGTAAAAACCCTGTGGTTTCCATATTAAAGCTGTAAAAAAAAAAACCAACCCCAAAACCAACCAACCAAATGCAATGACCAAAACCCCGAAGAATGAGTAACATTTTTATTTTCAGTGTTCTAGGAACAGTTTCAGTTGCTGGGCTCTGCAGGGGAGCAGCAGTGTGGCACTGGCTGGGAGGGTACTGGTAGGAAACTAGAGGAAGGGAGGGGTGGCGATGGTCTGGCACCGTTCAGTAAGCTTGTCACGCAGCAAAAACCTTGTGCTAAAGCCCAGTGAGTGCCAGGCCGATGGAGCTGTGGTTGAGTTGAGTGCCCTGAAGATTTTTAAAAACAAACCAAAACAAATCCCTTTACAAAAATCTCTTTCTAGGTGAGCAAGGCTGGAGAAGATTGATGCAGAGGGCGCCCCAGGAGCTTGGCTGCCATGGGCTGCCGCCAGTGGAGAGCGCAAGGTTTGCTCGGCCCAGGGCCGTTAGTCGTATTTTCACAAAGCCCAGAACAAACATGTATGAAAGGGTCAGGTTCTTGGTTCCCTGAGCAGAAAGTTCCCCCCAAGCAACCACTTTGGTCCTTCAGGGTCCAGCTGTGGCTTGGGTGGCCCAGCTGAGGGTAGCAGAGCTGGGGGGGGCTACAGTAATGGCACTTAGAAGTCGGAGCAAATGGCGTTTTTAGCAATAGTAAAATTCTGTCATTCTCTGTGCAGGAACCTGGCCAGCAGGGGAGAGATCACTTTTCACGAGACAACCAATATTTTATTTAATGGGTTTTGGACATTCCCCTTTAGTGCTCCCAGAGAGAAGTTCCAGAAAGCCTAAATCAGTAAGTGCGTTCAGGCCTTCGGAGTGAATCTTCAGTTTAAAGATACATGTGTCATCACTCTAAAGAGGAACAGTACAGAAGAAAATGTACACAGTCTTAACTACTTAGAGGTAATAAATGGTTATATTAAATGATAGAGAAATCATTATCTACATCTTTTTCTAATTCCTTGCATTTTCTAGACAGCTTATTAAAATATAGGAAATGTAGATTCATCTGTACAAAATTTGGAATGTTTTTTCTAAGACGAAGAACTTATAGGCTATGCTAAGAATTCTTTTCTAACAACCGGTTTTAATGCTTTGACTTCTAGTGCAAGAGGGACTTAGAGAAATCAGCAGGTGATCCCTTTCACAGGATAAAAGGTCAGGAGCTCTTTTACCCTAGGACAAAAAAAAAAAAAAAAAAAAAAGGCAAGCTAACTTTCTGTGGTCTTTACCACGTGTTAAAAACAATCTGCATGTTAGATTGAAATTGCTCAGACCCTCCAGAATAAAAGCATACTATACACTTTCCTCGCTTTCTGTTATGCACTGTAACGAAATGTGAAAATAATGCTGTATTTAGCTGTCTGTACGTGACTGGAAATATGCTTGTATTTAGCAAAATGGTTACTATGTGATAATGTGAAATTCAAAACTTGTAAAGAAACTTTGGTGGGTTTTTTTTTATTATTTTTCTTTCCCTCTCCCCAGTCTTTATCAGTACTGCCTGCACACCTCCTCCACCCCAGCCTTACAAGGACTGGCTTAACAATAAACGGGGGCTCCTCCCCACAGCGTCCCCTGCCCCTTTTCTCTGAAGGCCCACTGCTCAGCTCTTCGGCACCAGCCACCTCCCTTGCTGAGAAAGCACCGTGCAACTACAGAAACACTCCAAAACCTTCTACAGCAAACCAAAACAACCCTAAAGAAAACCCCTGCTCCCTGCAGCAGTAGCCAAAACCAGCCTTACCCCCTTGGGGAGGCCTTGCGGAGCCGCCGGCAGGACTGGTGGCACAGTAGTTAAAACGGCTGCTGCAAACCCCCCCTTCTGCTGAGAAAGCCTTTACCGGCAAAGGCCAGAGCAATACTGGGCAGGGGTCATAGGGAGGCTTGAGGTCCTGTTTGTGAGTTTTGGTTTGGTTTATTTACTGCGTTATCAAATAAAAACCAGGAGTTTTGAAGGCCGCAGCCACCCCTCAAGCCAGACACCTTTTGGACCTACTGAGCAGTGCAGCTCGGCTGCCGTCAGCGTCCCCCCCACCCCGCATTAGGTCACCAGTGTCACACACAGCCGCTGGTTTTGCTCGTGCAGCACCGCTTAACTCACCCTTTCATTGTGCGCCACAAAGGCGGCGGCTGCTGCCATCGGACCGGGCGGCGGGAGGGGGGCAGCGATTCAGCCTGTCGGGATCTCATTAATCCAAAGCAAAGAGAAAACGGCAAGAGAAATCGCAGCTGCCTTTCCCGGCCTTGCTGCTGCTCTTAAAAACCAAGGGAGGGAAAAGCGGGCTAGGTCACGGAACACGCTCGATCTCAACCTTTCTCTGCCGCAGCCGAAGGCACTGGGACGAGCGGTGGCGCCTGCGGGAAAGGTAAAAGGTGCGGATGAGCCGAGCCCAGGTGCGTGCCCGTGACTGGGGCCGAGGATTTACCTGGTTGACGCTCTCGCTCTTTCGCCGCCCATCGCCGTCAAAGCAGTTGCTGGTGTTCACACATTCAGAGGCGCTGACTCACGCGCCCCGTTCCATTCAGGCCAGCATGCAGCAGCCACGCTTTCCACATCTGCTGCTTCAGCTGCATTTTTTTCACCCCCCCTGCCCCCAGTGAAGGGAGGGAAACATTATAAAAGACCTGACCATCCTCCTCCCACAAAGAAAGATGCACAAAAACAGGTGTTTGCCACAACTGTTTAGTTTTACTATTTTAATATCATGAAATAAAAGTACAAAAAATTTACAGGTATATCGTTTCTTACATGAAGATCCAACAGTGAACATTTGCATTTATTTTGCAGCGAAACCTGTATCCTCAGTCACAGAATGTGAATAGTAGCCACTGACATCACCACTGAGCATTTCATTTTAGGAAGAAACTGCAGAGGTAAAAGGCAACAATCTTGCAAGGCTTGGTAAGAACCAAAAAAAAAAAAAAAAAAAAAGAATATTCCAAGTGTTAACACCAGAAGTCATGCTTCAGTGAGCCATCCTCATCTAATACAGGTTTCACCACCCGGGAGGCTGAGAGCCTTAAGACATTTGAACTGGACATCGTGTCTAAGGGGTTGTAAACGGGGGTTTCTTGTTTACAGGCTACCACCAGTTTGGTGCCCTTGTTCAAGGCGTTTGCCAAAACGAGCAAGGCGTGCACAGGGGTGACAAGGAGCGGGGCGAGGTCACCTGCAGTCCTGCCGGAGCTTGTGCTCTTTGCTCCCTTCACCGCTCCTCTCTGAGGACGAGTCGCCAGCTGCTGTACGTAAAGTGCTGCGAGGTCAGTCACGGGCAGGGAATGCACCCGGAGCTCCCGAAACCACCTTGATCCGAGCGGGTCGCCAGGAACACCCGCAGGCTGATGCTGCCAATTAACTGACTGAAACAAAATCCGAGACTTCTCTGTGTTTTTTCCCCGTTTCCCAGGACATTACAGCCGCGTGTCTTCCCAGCCCAAGTCGCCTTTAACTTCATCAGCTGCCCACAGAGATGAAAAAGTAAACCCCTGCATTGCCTCAGCCTGCTCACAGGTCAGACCCCACTCAGACGTGCCCCTCAGCTCTTCAGACAAGGTTTCAGGTAGAAATTTATTTACGACAGACTGATCTGATCAAAATACCACGTCCTGTGCTGGGCTGTGTGGTGCCTTTTCAAATAATTCATTTCATGAAGCATGCATGAAACCAAATTTTGAGTTTACAAATAAATAAAATGGTGCTCACCATTAGTTTTTATATATTTTACCATTTACTGAAATGCTTAAAGTAACTCAGTCCCTTAAGAATGTACTTTGGGGGTGTTTAAATAAAAAATATTTGGAAATTGAAACCACATTTAAAATTGGCAAAACTATGCTTTGTTTTTGGAAGGGTCTTGCTTGTTTCTTCTCTTTACATCCCAATTATAAACTCTAGCCATATCTGAGGGTGCAGAATTAAGGAAATAGCTCATGTGTTCAGAAAAGAAAAAAAAAAAACACACAAAAGAAAAAAGGGGAAAAGTGGGTTATACGGTCGGTCACACTTCACTTACTTGGAACAGTCCATATAGAAATTGTTTAATGAAAGAGCTGGCTTGGTGCAAAGCCTTAACACACAGGAATACTAGTAACTGTTAAGAACCGCAGTATTTATACCATTTACTTAAAAACCTCCAAAAAAATACTACGGAGAAACACACTTTGAGTTTTACTTCCAGCTATTCTTGTCTGATTTCAGTCAACCTGCCCGTATCAGCTCTATTTGCCTATTTCAAGCATCCAGAACTTCCTGCAGCATTAAGACACTCAAATATCGACTTGAAAACCCAAGCAGTTGTGCCTTCATTGCTAACTCCAACGCTTCCGTGGATGGCTACCCTCATCACTAGGTCTGAAGTATAAAGAAACCCCCCCACACCCCTGGAGGTGGCTCCTGACAGTACAAAGAGATTTCAAAAAAGTTCAGCCGCGCCTAAGCCAGCACCGAGCTCGCTGCAGCAGGGCTTGGGTTGCTGGAGAACATCA